CGAGCGACTTCTAGAGGGAGCAGAATGTCGCAGTGTCGTTTTGAGCTTTCGGAGCAGAGCAAAGGTTCGAGAGACGTTAGGAGGCTGGGACAAAGCCTTTGGTTGGCTCATGGGCACTCTCTCCCCTGGCTCTCAGTTCTCTCCCTCTCGGTTCCAAGACTGAAATCCCTTCTCCCCCTCTCGTCTCACTGGTTCACGGAACCTTAACCATCGGCCTCACTGCAAGAGACTGACTTCCCCTCTCTCATGGTTCTCGGTTCCTTTTGCTCTTCGCACTCCAGGAGTCGGGACTCCTCTTCTCCGTCTCTCTTCCTCGCGTGAGCCCAGGTGACCCGATCGGCTTTCTCCATTCAGCTTCATTCGTTCGGGAGCCCCGACCTACACCGAAGTCCTCTCGCTTCTGGGCGACAGATCCACCCCGGCCACCCTTCTCTGTTCGTGAGCCGGTCGACGTCGAACCTTCTTCTTCTCCTGGTTTCGCGCGCCTAGATCGAACCCGTTGTCGTGCCTGATGCCGACCTGAGCTCCTACATTGGCCGTCGATTTCCCTCTTCCTTAGAGCAGGTATACTCCTTGTCTTCCCTTTCCCCTTTCTTCTTCTTTTTCCTCTCCTTCTCTTTGCCTTTCTTCCTTATTCTTCTCTTTCCATTGCTTATTCTTCTTCTTCCAGATTTCTCTTGGCCCAATCTTTTTCCACATCTCAATCTCTTTCTTCTCTTCCTACCTTCTTCGTATACATGGTAACAATGGTTCATGCATTTTTGTTAAGATTTATGTCATGATTATCTTGAGTTGATTCTTGTTTCATTATGAGATATAGGATAGGTGTTATTGATGCAAAGTCTTTGTTTTTATTTTCTTCTTTGCCTAGGCATTGTAAGCTAGCCATTTGAGGAAATACCTCAAAGATATCTCTCTTGTCCTGTAGCTTTATTTTAAGAAGGTTTGAGTGGTTGGTTTTGTCTCTGTTGTGATTAAGGATGCAGTTACCATCATTATTTATTATTTGGCTTTAAGTGATGTATTCACCTGTCCCATGAAAAGGTTAGTCGCTACAATGGAGAGTTGGTACAAGGAAGCCTTGGGTATAAAGCTATGATTTGATAGCATGCATATTTGACATCAAAGATTTATAAAATTGTTGGATAAGTGGGGATGTATTCATCCTTTCTTTGTTTCACGTAGAGAAACACCTGAGGTTAGTTTGGTTGACATGCATCAAATCCACCATTATATATAGTAGGCCATTTTCTTTTTGTTCTTTCTTGGGTAGCATGAAAAGAAGCATGCGTAGTTGCATTGATATTGAGTTGTACTTAATCTATTTCCTTCATTGTCATTTTGATCGTCAAGTTTTGAGATGATTATAATCTTTCTTTTTCATTCCAAAATCTTAACAAGCTTTGTGTAGATTGTGGCAAGGCTTGAGAATCCATATTGTTTCTTTACTAAACTATGCATGCAAGGTGTTTGTAGAAATTTTTGTCAAGAAATGCTACAAATTTTGGACAAATGGTAGTCTCTTGGCAAACCATATTTGCATGACCAACTTGAATATCATCTTGTTGGTGGTTTATATTTTGTTTAAAAAAAAAAAAAAAAGCTTTGACTTGGGATTTATTGAAACTCTTTTCAAGTTTGACGTCTAGTGCTTAGCTCCTATTTATACCCATATGGTTGCTGGATGATGGATTACTTCGGAAGAGTTGTTGTTTATATTTTCTTAAGACCCATGCATTAGTTCATACTATTTGAGAAGTTTATAGTTTATGTCATGTGGTGCAATGTTCTATATATAGTTTGTGAAATACCATGAAAACTATGACATGTCCTTGCTTAAAATAATTTTTTTTAATTACATCAAAATACTCGATGTTTACATTGAAGTTTTTTAACGAGTGCTTTTGAGATTGTTATGTCAATACATGTGTCGGTATGACTAGAAGCAAAGTTTATTTTATAAATGTGATTGTTCAAACTATGAGAATTCCATGAAAAGTTTCACATTATTATTATCTATAAAATACCATCGTGCTTTGTAGTTATTGGACAATGATACATGCTATGTTGAATCATGAATGGTTATCCCTTATGTGGATCGCTTTGCACAACTTGATAAAAATGCCTTGATTTTGTGTTAACAAGTTACTTTAAACTCATAGCTTAATGATACTTTCCTTCATTCTAAAACCCCTAGTGGAATGAGTAGAGATTGCATTGTTATAAAATTAACTAAGCATATGGATACATGCGTTTCTTCTTTTCCGTTAGAGTATAAAGCACGACTTTCATGTTGAATTGGTTCTATTCAATTCTTGCGTTAGTTTAGCAATGAAGCGTTGGATATGACATTCATTAGCAAATTATCGTGTAGCATTCTTTTGTTTAAAAGTTTCATATGGATATTTAATTCACTTTTGAGCTTGTCTAGAAAGATATGGTGATTACATAGAGGCCTTATACCTAATGAAATTCATGGACTTGTGTTAGGAGAGCTTGTTCACATGTTTCATGGCACTTGATGTAAGGTTTCTAAATTGATTTGGAAAAGGGCTATATGCAGTTTTTTTTACTGTTTTAGGTTTCCAAACTATTTTGGGAACAAACTGCATGCAGATTTTCATCGTTTTTGGTTTCCAAACTATTTTGGGAACAAACTATATGCAGATTTCTACTTATTTTAAGTTCCAAACTGCTTTGGGAATGGATGAAGTGCAGTTTTTTTCACTGTTTTAAGCTCCAAATAGCATTGGGTAGCAAAGCATGTGCAGTTTTTTTATTGTTTTAGCCTCCAAATTGTTTTGGAGACAAACCAAGTGTAGATTTTCAATTGCTCTATGCTCCAAATTTATTTGTAAACAAGTTAGACACATATTTTCACTTGTTTTGTGCCTCAAACTATTTTAATAGATAAAATCAAATATTTGTTTGGCCTCTTTGAGTTATAGTTGGTTGAGGGAACTTCATGTGTATTTCTATTAAATGGTTTTCATTGGTGGAGTTTGGAGATAGTATCAAGTGACCATGAGTTTTATATCTTTTTCGTCGCCATGAAAGCATAACATTAGTATTGGGTTTCGGCAAGAATCAATGTTGTGAGCGCATGAACTTTATCACATGGGAAAGGTAATCCAAAGCATGAATTGTTATAAACTTTATTATTCTCCAAATTACATATTTGTAAGCTTCTTTTGGATACTTATTGGCATGCACTATGTGAGATTTGTTCTGTGATATAAAAGTTTTGAAAGTTTTTCTATTTAAATTGATATGCATATATGTTGTGTTGGGAAGGTTTTCAAAAGTGTTTTATTTATCGTTGGAGGTTGTTTTATATTAGAAGATTTTCAAGAATGATTTCATGCTAGAAAGATTTTGTGAAGTGTTTTGCATCGAGATGCTTTATGATGTGTTTTGTAAATTTTCTTATGTTGAGAAATTTTATGTCGTGTCTTGTGAATGTTTCTTGATGGAAGGATTAATAATGCCTGCCCATTGAGAAGCTTCCACAAATTACCCCACACAAAATAAGAAGAGAGCACTTGGTTGATTTTGTGTCAAAAGAGTCTTATTGTTTTTGCTTTCTTTTCGATAAGAGTTTATTTGTCGCTTCATTTGGAAAGTTTCTTAAATAAGTTTTGGGATTTGAAAACTTTAAATAGCTTTGTGTTGGAGGGCTTTTTAGTGTCTTTCTAGAGTAAGGTAGTCCTTACTTATTTGAGTTAACTTTCTTTAGTGTTAGCTTCTAAAAAAAGAAAGAATTTTGGATAAATATGAAACAAAAGAGAATCTTATTTTGAGTTTAGTTTTGGGAATTTGTTTTCCTTAGTTGCTTTGGGGTTTTATTTGGAGGGTATTGTAGGTAGATGTTTCAAATGTATCAAGTGCCTTATTTGGATTGTGGGAACAACAAAGGGCATTGAAAGCAACCTTCTCCCTATTCATATTATATTGAATTAGGGGAAAGGTTGTTTTAGATACACACTTTGCTTCAAACAAGTGTGCCCAACAACAACAATGCATACATTCCTTTTATGTTTGATTTTCATTTTTTTCTTTCTATTGCATTTAGTCGTCTCTTACTTTGTTTTTAGTCTTTCTACCGCTTCTTTATTTATGCTTTGGTATTCGATGCTTGTAAATGTCCTAAGGGTTAGAAAACAAAACCTCCTTTCGTTCCCTACAATACTAGTGACACATAAGGACAAAAATTAAGGATTGAGTCTTAGATAATATAGATTTAAGGTGCATGCTCCTTATATGATAGAGACATCAAAATAAAAACTTAGCGACACGTTTTCCTAGGTTTAATTTTCTTTAATCCATTAATAATTAACCAATTATTTATAATCTAGCTCTTAAAATATACTAAAAAAAATATTCAATTTTTATCAAGGTATTATTAACGTTTGTAATCATTAAATTGCAAATTCAAAACATACACCTAAAATCAAATTTAACTAATCTAATAATAAGCTTCTAACCAATTTAAAGTCTAAAAGATGTAGATTAAACTTAGGAGATTCAAATCTAAAATTAAAATTTATTAGTATAAAAGATTCCTAAAGATCAAACCTTAGATTAATATTTTAAAATCAATAAACGAACCCCTTAATACATAACAACCACTCAAAAAATGAAGTTTATTGGATGGACTACTCCGGACTGCGGGGCTAAGTGTCCTAAGGAGGCCTGGTTCCTCGAGCCTGGTGGCACAACGCCATGAATGGATTTAATGGAGTGTTAAACTTTAAAATTAATTTCTTAATTGGTTTAAGTCAAACCTTAATTGATAATAAATTGCCTAATTCATCTTTCTTTTTAATCTATAACCAACTGAATAATTCAACAAAATTGGTTACCATTGGGTAACCCAAGCCTACGAGGCTATTAAGTTAGCCCCAAGGAGGGTGAAATAAACCTCACGGCCTAGGTGTGAAACAAAGGTGATAATCAATCAAATAATACGAAAATATATCTTTAAAATCAATCCTAAAAAATTAATATTTAAATTTCAACTAAAAATCTCTCTTTTAGTTCTTTAACAAATCAAATGCAAGTAATTTGAACTAATCATCCTACATAGGACCTATCCAAAACTAGACAACCTGTTACACACACTTTAGACTTGTTTGGTTGGAACACGACTTTTAGCCCTAGGTTAGGCTGACATTTTCTTTTGTTATTCAGTGTTTACTACATGTACATGTTATATAAATGTTATACTTAAATTTCCTGTTTATTATATTTTTATGTACTTGCATTTATTTTTTGAATGGCATCTACGCTCATTTGTATATTTCTCTTTTATCTTATTTTGCGAGGTACATTGGATCATGACGATAGAGAATTAAAGAGGAGCATTTTCTTAGGAGCTTTTAAGTGGCCGCGCCACAATCTGGGATCATTTGCTCATGAACTTGTAAATGGCAGCATCACAATCAGGTACGATCTTTGCAATTTGTAACGAACTCTTAATTATTTATCGGAATTGCTACACTCCACACACATATTGTTAATATGTATTCTAGCATGTTTAGGTAGCCAGCCATAGGTTAGTTCACTAACGAAGCTTTGGCCCTACAGGTCAAAGCTTGCCCCATTTTCTGTGAGCCCTAGAGACCATTAGGGTCATTTAGGCCTGTAGTGTAGGCCTCCTATTGTGCCATTGGCATCGTTGTTTTCCAACACGAAGTGTGCATCGTTGTTTTTCTCACACGAAGTGGGAATCGCTAGGATGTTACCTTTTTCTGGTTTTGGGTATGATACCTCCCCACGTTATGTGAGCCTTAGAGAAGGCTTGTAGAGTAGGCCACCTATTGTGCCATGGGCATCGTTGTTTTCCCACATGAAGTGGGCACCGCTAGGATGATTTTCTATTGTTGTGTGATGCGGGTATCTTGCCTGAAGGGCACCCTTATTGTATTTATTCACTTTTTTTGTACTCTGAATGTCATGCATGCATTTTTACACACTTTTCTCCACAATTCACTTTACTTACATGCATGCATTACATTAGTGGACCTAAGGACATTTCTTACTTATGCATATGTTTCATGCATCATATGTGGCAATATGTCTATTCATTTGCATATTATAGAGTCCTTGATTTAAGCCTTTCAAACTATAAATCCTTGATTCATTAGGATAGAGCCTTCATATCTTGTACGCATATAGGACGATTGGTTGTGCTTAGAATGTTAGCCGGCTGCTCACTCTAGGCAAGCATAAGCCCCGATTGTACACCCCTCTGTGTGTCTATTCTTTTTCTCTAGCTTTCTCTTCCTTAGACCGGCCGAGTGTTGATGTTGAACCACACATGTTGACTAAACTAAATTGGGCCTATGTATCCCTTTGATTAGGAAAGCCTAGAAATTCTTTTGCGCTAAACTCACTTTTGAGAAGATAATCTAACATCTCTAATCGAGAGTTTTCTTAGACTGAGGTCTAAGTTGTAATTAACTACGGGGGCTTGCGCCCGTAGGAAACCGATCTCCACAATCAAATAAACTCCATTCGAGCTGATGTATCGAATGGGAGAAATCTCATGAAATTTTGGGTTATATATATTATTATCCATCGAAGTGCGTAGGCGAAAGTCACTATCTTCCATGGCTAATTGTATATATAACTCGATCTGCTCTTCCATTGTCCTGCTTGTGTCGACTGTAAAGGCCTACAATCATTTTATCCTACGGGATAGTGTGATCGTACTCTTTGCATTCGAACCCATGAGCAGAATCCTTTCGGAGACCCAAATTAGACCAGTCCAGTGGACTGGTCCAGCCGGTCCGTGCGGGACCGGCCCAGCGTGAACAGGGCGGAGAAATCTCCGCCCGCTGGATGCTGAGCGAGCCGCACACCGTGCATGAGCTTTTTAGGAAACTTTTTTGAGGGTTTTGAGAGAGAAATTTGAATGTAGGGACTGTTTAGGGATTTCCTTTTGATTTGTATGCATTAAATACTTTGCCTTCCTAGGGTTTGGGCATCTTGAATTTGGCTGAAATTTGAGATCTCTTAGATTTAGGTTTCTTTGGGCTCTAGCGGAGTCTAGAGATTTGGGAGAGATCAATCCTCATCTCGAGTTGAGGATGATTTGTATCTTTGTTGTTTTATTCATCTACTAGTGAAATACAAACTTTTGTTTGATTTTCTCTCAATTTTTCCATCCGTTTTCCTCTGGTTTGGTGCAGATTTCTGCTGTAAACAGCAGAAATGCTGCTGTTTGCTCATCCGTTTTGCTTGGGATTGCTTGCAAACTCAAGTATTACCTTAGGGTTACTTGTGGACTCAGGTATTTCCTATCATATTCCTTGATAAACTTCCCTGAACTCTTAGGATAAGCTCATTATACTTCAATTTGATCAGCACGTGCATTAACATTATCGCAATTATGTTTGTTAAATTGATAAACTCAAAAATGTAATTAAAGACGGTCTTTCTTGAAAATAATTTGGGTCAGTATCATTTTCCTTTGAGAATAAGCGTATAAATTGATAACGCATCACTTTCAAGGAAGTTGAATGTTTTAGACATTCTATTGATAGTTATGCTATGAGTTGTGGGCTAAAAATTATTTGATGTGCAATCCACTAGTATTTGTTAATATTACCTTTCATTGTAATGCTTATTGTTGACACAGTCAAGCTATGAACTATCGTCAGGAATGTTGCATTTTTACACTTTCGTGAAAAATTTTTATGCTTATTTAGCTTGTATAGCTAAGTGTTATTTTATCATAGCTGGACAAATAGCCTTCTTCTTGATATAGGAGTTGATTTGGACATTGTGCTTCGACAAATAAAATGTTGCCTGTCTCAAGATATTTATGCTACTTGTGAAGAAAATATATTGAGCTTGTGATTAGGCTCAATTTGTTGAAACCTATTATTTATTTTTTTTGTTAAACTGATGTTGCTTTTCTTGATAGTTGGAAGATATTTATTCAAGCTTGTTTCTCGTCAAATGTGATGCTGTTTTAAATAGAGCCTCTCGTAAACTAGGACAAAAGCAGAGCAGAATGACAAAATTTTGCAGTGGGATATTGCTTATTCTTCATATTGATATGCGTCATTTGGGCTCCTATGTTGGTATGAACCTTCCTTGCCGTCTCTCCCTCTCAATTTTCTCTTATATCCATTTTGTTGGAAAAGGAATGTTGCTGGCCCTGTTTAATGACTTTCTGATATAGAAGCTATCTTACGAACTTATTCTCTCCAACATATATACCACTTGTCTCTTCATTCGATCTTTTTTCTTTTTCTTTTTTTGTCTTGTTCATCCTCTAATGTTTTCATTTTCAACTTATCAGTGATGAGAAAATAATCATAAAACATTATCAAACCTATGATCTTTCTTGTTTTCTTTCTATTGTTCCAGCATCACTTTCTAATATTTTTTAAGCTAGCGGAATTCATTAGAAATTGGTTTGCATGATTTTTGTTTTGCCATGTATGAATAGATATCAAATCCATTCATCAGCATGTGTGATGTAGAACTACTATGCTTTTAAATGTATGTGGTAAGAAATTGCACGAATTGAAAAGAACAAGAACAATTATTTCTATTAGCTATTCCAAACGACAGGATAAAACATAAGAGCGGTCACTTCCGTTTAGGCTAAGTCACATGCCAAGCACTTGGAGAATCAAAACAAGTTAGAAATTCAATAATATGCAAAGTAAATAGCTTTCAACAGAATCCTTAATTTAACAATTAGATTAGAAGCATAGAAAGTGCACTCAATCCTACGTTTACTAAGCTTTGGCAATGGCGAAACAAAATCCTACATTTACTAAGCTTAGGCATAAGGCGAAACTCGGCTCCTTGTGATTCGTCATCACCTACAAGATTAGGGGATTAGAAAGGTAATTGAAGAGGGGTAGAAGTTCACCTTAGTCAAAGTCCGGAAACAAGTAGTCGAGATGTTGAAGAAGTTCGTCGTAGTTTTATTGAAGGTTCAACTTAGAGAAAAAGTAGTTTCTCTAGTGTTGAAGTGTTGAGCACACTAGTTAGTACTTCCTTTAAAGGCTCCTATTGAGAGGGAGGAGCTTATCTCCGATGGTGGTACGGTCGAAAGGTGCCGGTGGATGCTAATGGACAGCTAGTTGTCCTCTTAAGGCAGCCTTTGAGAACCTTTAGGTTGGAGGTAAACCAAGGGGTAGATGCAGGAAATTATGGCAGCAAACTTGGTGAGCAGGGAAACATCACCCGGAAGAGATTTAGAGGGGATTTGGAGAAGTCAAACCCAGCAAAGCTGCTAGGGAGGAGGCGGTTAGATATGGGCCAGATTTTGAAAATATTTCCAACGTGAGGGAGGCTGAAATTGTCGGCAGAAATATGACATACTTTGGAGATATTTCCAATGTGAGGGAGTCTGAAATTGTGGGCAAAAGTATGACAGATTTTTGGAAATATTTCCAATGTGATGGAGGCTGAAAATGTGTGCAGAAATAGTGGCCAGAATTTTGGAAATATTTTCAACGTGAGGGAGGGAATTTAATGTGGCAATTAGTGCTAGCTTAAATTAGTAAATTAAATTTGGGAAGAAAGATCTCATCCCAAATTAATTTAAAATTCAAAAGCTATGATTTGGAGACTTTCCAAAATTAGGATTTCTAATTTAGGCAATAATTTCAAATTCAAATTTATTTGAATTTGCCTTTAATTGTCTTACCTAAATTATGAAAAATAAATTAGGAAAGGTTTAATAGCAAAGGGGATTGGGAGGGAGGCCAAAGAAGGGCTGGCAGCAAGGTGGAGGGGCCGTGGGTGGTGGGGTGGCCGGATCTAGCCGTCGAGTGGGAAAAACAAGGATGGCCGACAATTAGGTTAGGGACGGAGGTAGTATGGTCGGATGGTGGTGGTGGGAGGAGGAAAAAAAAAGAGATAGAAAATAAGAACCACGAACTCGGCCGTCTCCAAGATTGGTGGGTGATCCGAGATCCCTCTCCTAGGGATTCACCAATCAAACTCTCAAGCTCCACAAGAACTCATGCAAGGAAGAAATTTTTTTAATCAATCATTCATTAATTTTCAAAGAGAACAGAGGGGCTATATATAGCCTCGTACATAATATTCAAAATAAAAAACAACAATGCCCTTAGGGCTTACATACGACCTCCCTTCAAGTAAGAGGTAAAAACGTACAAACATAACTAATAATAAAAGACAAATAACATAATAAGACAAATACATGAAATAACTCAAAATACATCGATGTGATCGTGGCCGTAGATCGTCGACCACGCCTCTGATATACGAGTCATGCTCTGATGTCCACATCAATGTGCTTAATGTTTTGTGCGCTATTGCAGTTGCATAGGCGCATTTTATTGTATAGTTGGTTTAAAATAGTGCCTTCATTTTCCAGGGCATTGATGCCATAAAAAAGACATCTTACATAAGAAAGTGAAAGTTTTTAAAAAGGTATATATTTAATGAGTGATATACTGATGTAGACATCTACCAGAGGTTCAGATATGTGTATCGCCGTAGACAACGCAGATCGACGGCCGCGATTCAGAGTTTATATTTCTAATTATTTATGTATTTCTTTTATGCATTTTTCTTTTTATTTCCTATTGTACCCCTAGTATAAGCTGAGTCATGAGTGTAGCCCCGAGGGCAAAAGAGTCATTGTATTTCCTTTTATGTTGGGACCTATATATAGGTCATTTCATGTTGTATTATGGTTAATGATGATTGAATTGAAAAGCTATTTTGTTCTTCTTTGTCTTCTTGCATGAGTGCTTGAAGAAGAGAGAGAGAGAGAGCTCCAAGGGGGAGCAAACCGCAAGGCCCACCAATCGTTGGAAGAGTCCTCGATTCGTGGTTAGAATTTTATCTTTTCGATCGTGTTCCAATCCATCTCCTTCCCCCTCCCCTCCACAAGAAATCCTTCTCCCACATTGCCGCCGCCCCTGTGAGGATCCCGCCGCCGACCGGCACCCAAATTCGGCCGGCCACCTTGCCGGTGACGCCCCTTCATCCACCCGACCCTTCCACCCACAAGTATCAAATTTGAAATTTGAATTTTCAAATTTCAAAATCTTTCCTAATTTGGAATTCCAAATTTGGAAAGTTTTTCATGACAAATTTAATTTCAATTTAAAATTAAATTGAAATCTTTATGTCATCGCCACATCATCACCTCCAATTGGAAACCTAGCTCTCCACTAATTCCTCTTCCCCTTCCCCTATGCAAGCCGCCGGCCACCCATGGAGGAATTCCCATTAATGGTGTGTTTAATGCCATGACCGTTTTTGAAATCATAATTTGATTTCAAAATCTTTCCCTCCTCTTTTACTTAAACTGAAATTAACTTTCAGTTTTAAGAAATTTAAAACCCCTCTCCCCATAATAGCCCGGCCACCCCTTTGATGAGCCCCCTTAATGGCTCATTAAAGCCCTAATTACTTTGTTTGAATTTGAAATTATCTTCAAGTAATTCCCTCCAAATTTACTAAAACCTGAAATTAATTTCAGATTTTAGTAAATCTCTTGCTTCATTCACCCTACCTAAATTCTTCCCCACCACACATCACCCCTTCTCCCAACCGTGGCCGAGCCCCCTTTTCCCCTTGGAAATCCCGCCGGCTCACCTCTCCATCCCCTCCTCCTCCTTTCAACTCAAAGACTCTCCCTCACCGCCTCCTAGCTCCCTTCCCTTCGGAAGAATTCCTCTACATCAAGTATGTATGGCGGATCCGGAGTTTGAGTGGGGATTAGTCTTCAACGCCGACGGGAGCATTAACATCCTACGATCACCGTGCTTCGACGTAGGATTTGAAGACGAAACCACCGTGGAAGAGTACTTGGAGAGAGTCGTCCCGATCCTTGCAAGCATCTACGACCGACAATTTTCGAAGCACACTTGGAGTCTCGAAAGCCAAGCATTCACGCCCTCCTCGTCACCGTCAACTTCTCCGTGGCTAAAGGCCATTGGTGTGGCCACCATCTTCGTGGCATCGTTGAGTTTGTTAAAGGCCTTCTCCCGCTAACCCGAATTGAGTGTGAGTGATCAAGGTACTCATTGTGAAATTTCTAAACATTAGTCGTGGGATTTTATTAATTTCCCGCATTTGCTTTGTTGTGAACTTTGAGATTCATTATTAATCGTGCCTAAACACTAGCTTGAAATTGCTTATCATAATACTTCTTCAATGGAAAATGCTTGAATCTTAATTTACGAAAGGCCTAATCTTACTTGAGTAAACTTTGTGAATCTTAATGAATTTCATGTGCAATCCTTGAATGTTTCACATCATATACCCTTGGTTATTTTTTTAGAATATTAAATTTTTTTTACTATAATAAATAGAGCAGCCCTCTAGTGACCCTAAAGGCTCCCCGCCATCTCTTCTCCGAATTCCTTAAATCGCAGCCTCACTGTATGCTCCCCATTGCTGCAAGTCACACACTCTAATTGTGCCCTACCTGCATGTTATAGTCGTATGCCTTATATTGTCTAGCTATCTTCTACAGCTACTGCTTACACTTGCCTATTATATGTGCCCCACCCAAAACTTGTTACGCACTGGCACATTATCCTGTTTTTGTTGCTCACTTTCCGAGAGCACACTTGTTTTCAAGCATCCTGGTCATGCAACCCTTGCTAGCATTCTCCTTCCTTCCCCTATCGTAGCTACTCTAGGTCTATGATTGCTTATGTGGGTAGTGATTATCTATTAACTGCATTACTTCTTACCCCAAGATGGGATCCTCATCCACGATGGGTGCATCTATCATACTGCCGGAAAAATTTTTTCGTCCTTAACAAATTGCATATTTTTTGATCGAACACGACATAAGAAAAATAATATATTATCCCAATGGATAAAAAAATATCATTTCCTTATAGATTCAATAACAAAATTTATAAATTTAAATTTTAACAGAGATTTTCCCTTATTCGATATTTGGTTGAATGAGGTTTATTTAATTTTAGGATATGGATTAATTACATCTTAAGCATTTGATAATTAAACTAATGACTTTCTTTCTTTTTAAATAATCAAAATATTGGTTAAAGGCTTTCATTTTAAAATTAATAAAATTCTTGTTTAAAGATTTTTTATCTTTAGGAAT